TTCCTTGACACTTCTGCAGCAATGCACATGCCCCCATGACTTAACTTGTCCCAGCTGAGCTGTTTCAGACCACATAATGTGAAAACAGGATAAAAAAAAAATCTGACTTCTCCCTTGACAGTACAGGCTCATTTCAGTCCCTGATGAAAGCATAAGCTGTATGAAGAGATGTCCAGCCAACTGGCTAGCTGCTTCAGCTGGGGACTAGCCAGAACTGGGAGTAAACATTTGGGCTGGAGACTAGAAAAATCTACCCTGTGAAGGATGTTACAGGCCATTGCCTGGGCTATCACCCCTAGTGTTCAGGAGAAATGAGGTAACTGAAACGGGGACACTGAAGTAAAAATAAAGCAGTCCCAAGAAAGGTCCTAATCTGATTAGTGTTGTGTTTGGCTCCTGACTCTCTTCTCTTTCAGTGTGTCAGGCGATGGGTTAAGGGATCGGAAACTGATCCAGAGAGCTCTTTTTTACAGATGAAGCCATAAGGGTGGTTTTTCAGTGAGCATGTTCTGTGCAGCATAAGGGTGTGTTTGTGTTTCCCTGAGGAGGAGAAGGTGGGAAAAGAGGGAGGGCTCGTGCCCTAGTCAGCTTTCTCCAAGGTCCTCTGCTCCCTCCGCTCTTGCACGCTCTGCCACCCTAGGGGAGGAGGGAGAGAGAAAGAGAGCAGGAGAGAGACAGCTCATTTCCAAACACTTGTTTCATTCAAGAGACTTTATTTTTGGTAATGCTACACCGAGTCTGCAAGCAGCTCGAGTGGCGGATGGTGCTAAAACTCTGTCCTGGGCATGTTACCAGCTGGAAGGATATCACAGGACGCTAGCCCACCAGGGAGACAGCAATTGCAACATCGGGGCAGACCAATGCTTCATCCAGCCCAGTGTCCTGTCTCAGACAGTGACCAGTGCCAGATGCTCCAGAGGAAGGCATAAAACACCTCATTGCGTAGCGTTACGCAAGGAGGGAAGCTCCACTTTCACCTGCTGAGGCACACGCACTTGAAGCCCTCATCATGTTCCTCTAGCCACCGTAGCCACAGATGCAGCTTGGTGACCAAAGCCTTGGCCCCAGGTGGGAGAAAAATTGCTGGAAAAGGGCCAAAATCGAGCAGAGGCTCTCAGTGAGATCAGTACTGGCCCCAATAGGAGCTCCGACTGAGGACCACGTCTTTATTCAAAGACTTGACAGACCTGGGGCTGCTTTGATGGTAGCAAGGTTACAGCAGCTTTTGCTCTTCTGACTGACCAAAAATGAGTACCTTCACTAGGAAAAAAATGTTTAAAAAAAAATCACAAAAGAAAACAAAGCTCTGCACTGTGAGCTCCCTCACTATCAGGTCTCAGGTGACATGAGGTGACCATCCAAGCTGGTGCCTCCAGCTGGGGACCACAGGGGCCAGGCAGCCCACAACATTGGAAAGGTTGGTCTGTGTTGGATCTCTTCTGTCTCTCACAGTCCCCAACTTGTATGAAACAGCAGGTCAGCTTTTCACCATGTACTTCTCCCCTTCCCATTCCTTTTATGCTGATCCATCCCCTCCACACCAGCTTCAGGGGATTCAGTTCCATTCCTAAGTCACTCAAAGGTCTAATGCAAGTCCCAGTGCACAATGGAGTACAGTACAGCCTCTGAACTATGGCTTCTCTTGGGTTAGGCTGTCTCCTATGTTTATAGGACACATTTTGCTCCATCCCACCTAGTTTGCAGAAACTCAGTATGTGAGGGATACCATGCCTACTCTGCTGAAGTATGACCAGCTATTGACTGCAGACATCTGTCACACCATCATGACAAACAGAGGTGTGAACAGAGCTACAAACACTGACCAACAGCTCTGAACCCAGATCCCACGCTGCAGAAGACATTTCTAATGAATGTTTTCTACAGTGCAACAAACACTGATCCTTGCCTTTTGAGCACTATGTGTGGTAAGTATGAAAGCACGTAATAACTGGATAAACACAATGAGAACACTTCCCAGAGTTTTAGGTCAGAGGAGAAGTTGGAGGAGGCCAACCACTCTATGTCAGGTTCATTTCTTCCTCAGCAAGCTGCACCATACTCAAAAACTCATGTTATTCTCCGCAGTTTTCAGACAGCTGTGAATGACCTCACGTGCCCAGCTGCAAGATGGGGCCAGCTGCCCCATGTCTGCACAGCTCATGTCTGACCTAAAGCCCACACAAAGCTCTCTCATGTAGGCCCACCATGGAGTCCTACCTGAGTAAATGCCTCTCCTGAACAACTTGCAGCCCAACACACATTCCTCATGATGAGACAGCTTCTCCCCAAAGGGCACTGGCGGCACACACACCAAGCACCCTTATCACTGACAGTTTAAAACCTCATTCAGAGAATCAGTGCTGGCTTACATCACCCCATGGAGCACCTTAACTATTATTTAACTGAAAAAATTATTTAGCTGTTGACATTGCCAAAAAAACCACTCTGGTT